GGGAATATACAGAGTATCGGGGGAATATACAGAGTATCGGGGGAATATACAGAGTATCGGGGGAATATACAGAGTATCGGGGGAATATACAGAGTATCGGGGGAATATACAGAGTATCGGGGGAATATACAGAGTATCGGGGGAATATACAGAGTATCGGGGGAATATACAGAGTATCGGGGGAATATACAGAGTATCGGGGGAATATACAGAGTATCGGGGGAATATACAGAGTATCGGGGGAATATACAGAGTATGGGGGGAATATACAGAGTATGGGGGGAATATACAGAGTATCGGGGGGATATACAGAGTATCGGGGGAATATACAGAGTATCGGGGGAATATACAGAGTATGGGAGGAATATACAGAGTATGGGGGGAATATACAGAGTATCGGAGGAATATACAGAGTATGGGGGGAATATACAGAGTATGGGGGGAATATACAGAGTATCGGGGGGATATACAGGGTATCGGAGGAATATACAGAGTATCGGAGGAATATACAGAGTATCGGAGGAATATACAGAGTATCGGGGGAATATACAGAGTATGGGGGGAATATACAGAGTATGGGGGGAATATACAGAGTATCGGGGGGATATACAGAGTATCGGGGGAATATACAGAGTATCAGGGGAATATACAGAGTATCGGAGGAATATACAAAGTATCGGGGTGATATACAGAGTATCGGGGTGATATACAGAGTATCGGGAGAATATACAGAGTATCGGGGGAAGATACAGAGTATGGGGGGAATATACAGAGTATGGGGGGAATATACAGAGTATCGGGGGGATATACAGGGTATCGGAGGAATATACAGAGTATCGGAGGAATATACAGAGTATCGGGGGGAATGAGAGGAGATCAGATTTAGAACATTGTGCCATAAACAGATGCGGAAAGTGACCCGGTCAGGACAGAAATGGAGAAGAGAAATACAAGAAGTGCCCCTTATAAAAGCGCCAAGTCGGGAAAAAACTGAGAAAGGGCGACTTCTCTTCTCTAGAAATATCCCCGATGTCGGATCTCAGGGGCCCCGAGAATTCTGGTAAAGGGGGCCCGGCGGCAAACGTGGGGGACGTGACTTCTACATGCCGAAGTTCTCGTGGTTTGTCCTCTGTAAGAGAATTGCATCAGAAGAGATCTCAGGAGACGGAGATATGAACTGACAATGCAAAGTGTGTATGAGGGAGACAGGTGACTGCGGAGATAACTGACACCACACTGACACCCCACTGCAACTGACACCCCACTGACACCCCACTGACACCCCACTGCAACTGACACCCCACTGCAACTGACACCCCACTGCAACTGACACCACACTGCAACTGACACCCCACTGACACCCCACTGCCACTGACACCAAATTGCAACTGACACCCCACTGCAACTGAGACCACACTGCAACT